TATTCCATTGCAAATTAAACATTGTAGGTGCATAAATTCAGCGAAATAATCCAATGTAGTTCAGTAGACCATAATACTAGCAGATTATCTGCAGGACTAGCAATGTCAGAATTTATTGACTTGAGCCTCATACAGTTCAGCATATCAACATGACTTTACATTTTGTAACTTGTGTTTATACTTTTCTTCTGGATGGTTGAGAACAAGATAAAGCAAGACCTATATAACAAAAATGTGACTTTTGTATCAGACAAGGTCAGTCAAATCCCCTCAGGATTTACTATGAAACCACGTACAGCATCTTGCAGATTTCTGTCAGTGTCAGTCATATGGATAAATCATGGCTATTTCTTGACCAATTTGCTGTCTGTGAAAGTCTGAGATAACGTTTTCTCTCTAGGTGACTCTAATTAGTCACACTCAACATCATTGATCACTTTCTTCTGTGGAAGAATCATGGCCATTACTTGACCAATTTGCTCTCTTTGAAAGCCTGAGGGAATATTTTCTCTCCATGTGACTCTCTGTAGGCACACTCTACATCATTGATCACTTTCCTCTGTGGCCCCATAGTCAACCTCCTTGATCAGAAAATTTGGGACACAACCGAGATACATGATGTTACGATACAGGTTTTTCTATGTCCTGAGTCTTCACTGAACTTGAAAGGCTAGAGCCAAAATGTTGGCTGTCCTGGAAGCTGTGATTTTTCTTTAATTTTGTGTCTGCAAACTTATTTTATTAACTCTCCAGAATAGAATCTTATTGTTATTACCCTACAACATAGGCAGTTGAACTTAAATTCACTATCTGTCAAATATTAAACATCTTAGGCATAATATGGAATAGATATTTTCCATCAAGTATTGATACATTAACCTTTAAGTCCCTACAGAATATGAACTAAAAAATTCTAAAAATTGAAAAATATTTCAAAAACTGGGAATAAACAATTACATATTATTACACAGAAATTTAGAAATCTAACAATATACAGCATTGTAGCAGGACAGTCCAATAACATTTTTTGTCCATTCTTTTCATTGATTATACATTTTTTAAAACAAACATTTACTTGAGAGAAAGTATGGAAGTAATTGGGACGACATGCCAAGCAGTACATATTTAGAAAACTAGAACGACAAAAATACCAAGCATGACCTTAGAATTACATGTTGCTATTCAGTACTGTTGCTATGCTCACAGGTGTCAACATATACAGTTAGGATGAGAATCCGAACAATTAACTGCTAGTTTTAAAAATCTTCTGAAGATTATCAGGATCATTGCCTTAACCATTTGGCACTTATAAGTGTATGGTTTGGTCACTGTTTATTTCCTATCTTTGCTCCTTTCCATCTTTGTTGTTTAATCTTTAAGTTCTCACTTTCCTTTTAATTGTGATATACCTTTCTATTTTTATTTCTTTTGAGTTATTATTCTGGGAAGACTGTATGATATTTACACATGCTTGTCTGTTTTATTTCACTTATGAGTGTATCTTCAAGTGGCATTCACTTAAATATAAAGACTTTGAGTTTGTTCTTCTTTATGGATGAGTTATTCTTAATTGTATAAAAATATCAAACTTTTCCATCCATTCCTCAGTTTCCAGGTATCTTGGTTGTTTCCAAGATTTGGCTATCACAAATTGTGCTGCTACAAACATAGGTGAACATTTATCAGAATGGTATGATGTTGAAAGTTCCTCTGCTTAAATTCCCAGTAGTAAGAGAGCTGGTTTGAATAGAATTTGCAGTTTTTAAAAACTCTAGTTTTTAAAGGAGTCTCTACACTGATTTCCATAATGGTAGCATCAGACTACATTGCCACCAGCAGTGGAGGAAGATTATTTTTTTCCCCACAGCCTTTCCAACACCTGCTATTGGTTGTGTGTGTGTTTTTTTTTTCTTTTTACTTCTCTTATTAATTGTATTGAGAAACAGATAGCAATGAGACAGTTTCAAAACTAATTAATAGCCAGACCAAACCCAGGCACACTGCCTGAGTGAGACCCTGTGCTGTGCCCTTGGGGCCCCTCCACCCCTCCAAAGCACCCGCAAGCCCACAGAGTGAATGAAAACTTCTGCCACATTCTCAGGACCTCCTAGATCAGCCCAAGTCCAGGACCAGCGAGTGTGTAGGAGAACTTCTGGCTCCCTGATGCCCGTGGGACCTCTCTGGACCAAACCCAGGCATGCTACATGATTGCGACCCTCTGTCACGACTTTAGCACACTTCCACCCATCCAGATGCCCCCACTGAATCCCACCGAATGAGTGAAAACTTCTACCACGTTCTCAAGACCTCCCAGATCCAGCCCAAGGACAGGCTCCACAAGTTTGTGGGAGAGCTTCTAGCACACATGCGCCCCATGGGCCAGGAACACAACAGAGGGGCACAAGAGGTTCACTGTTGTGCCAGAGGGGCACAACTGTCTCATTTCTGAGAGCTTCAGCAGGCTGGAGCTGAGCACAACAGCTAGACCCAAGCCCAGCACAACTGGATAAACTCAAACTTAATGGATCTGCACCTGAATTTCAGTAGGTGCTAAGGTTATAACTGCACCAAAGCTCTACACCAAAGGTCAGAGGTTAGTGATATATTAAATGACAAAGAGAAGGAGAAAAATGCAATCTCAGGCCTCGAACACACCCAGAACAAGTGTAGAGGGCACTAGCACAGAAAACATTGGGAATCACACAGCTGAAATATCTGATTCAATAGCATTTGAAGTAAAGAAATGACAGCAGAAAGGTATAGAGAAAATCAGATCAGAAATA